TAATTTTTTGAGGAACCTCTATTTTTCTATAGTCAGTAGCTGGACCAAGATAGCTCTTGCCACTTTATGGCCTTCTCCCTAGTCAGGAGAATAAAATTGACTGTTCTGTGTGCTTTGACATGGAATTTTCCCAGTGCAGGGTACTTAGGGGGTCGGGTTGGGGGGCCATGGGGAGCTTGTCCAGGGCAAGAGGGTTGGTGCAGTAGGTGAGACCTCTGTTGCCTCCTTAGTACCACACACAGTTCTTCATGCACCATCACGGCCTGGGTCACTCCTGAGTACAGAGCCAGAACTAATCCTTGAGTGCTGTTGGGTATGGTCCACTTCCCTTCTCCCCCACATGCCCCAAAATCTTATCAAAACTTGGGGTGACTGACCCCTGTACCCCAGACTGACAGCGTCATTGCTCCTTTACTTTGGAGCATTTCCCCGCTTTGAGTTGCTGCATCTTTACTCAGGGTGTGGATTTCCTCCCCATTTACCCCTCCCCAAGCTCCCTTGCACACTCCTATTACACTATCATCTCTCAGTAATATTTAGAAAAAAATAAATAGGAGCCGAACGACATTCTGCGGGGAAATGCTTGCCTTGTACATGGCTGACCAGAGTTCAATCTCCGGCACCCCAGACCGTCTCCCAAACCCTGCCAGGAGCGATTCCCTAAGCTCAAAGCCCTGAGCTCTGCTAGGTATGGCCCTGAAACCAAAGGGAAAAATACATATAATAAATCAAAGACATAGGACAGTCAGCTCATGCTAGCCAGAATGGAAACTCTGCTGCTGTTTCTGTTTCTCGTCCCCTCCTGTGTCTACCCACATTGATACTACAACAGATCACTAACTTCAGGACAAGAAAAGAACTGTACAACCCCAGAACCCAGTTCTTATAGTGAGCTTTCAGTCCTGTCTGTGGGGAGGTGTTTCTCAGCATCATAGAGTAGTGGAAAGCCCAGCTCAGCTGCGTCAAGCCTCACTGGGGACATAAGCAAGAGTTTGTAAGGATCACTTCTGGCAAGGATCAAGGGATCTGTTATGGGATGCCAGGGGTTGAAATCTGGTTGACTGTTTGCAAGGCATGTGCCATACCCGCTGCACTATTGCCCCTCCCCTGGAAATATTCTTTTTTGCTCTTTGGGTCACACTGGCAATGCACAGGGATTACTCCTGGCTCTGCACTCAGGAATTACTCCTGGCAGTGCTCGGGGATCATATGGGATATGGGATGCTGGGAATCAAACCCGAGTCCGCTGCATGTGAGGCAAACACCCTACCTGCTGTACTATCGCTCCAGCCCTCCTTCGGAAATACTCTTTATGTTTCATTTTGGATGCACACCTGACAGTGATCAGGTACCATTCCTGGCACACTGCTCAGGGGTTAAGGAGTATCTTCCCTGTTGCATAGGGGACCAGGTAGCCCTGAGGATGGGATCTAGGCCTTGCCCATGAAGATGTGTGCTCCATCCCTGTGAGCCATCTCTCTAACTAGTCCTCATTGGAGATAATAGGAGAAGCCTAGGAGTGCAGGATGCAGCTGTATTAATAGTAGGCATCGGAGGGAAGGCGGAACAGTGAATCCTGATCTGCACTGTGCACTTTTGGGCCATTCCTTGCTCACACCCAGCAGCCCATTCTGGCTGTGTCATACTGTGCCTCAGTGGCATCCCGGCTCTTTTCCCTGGAACATTTTCCAGCTCTTGGTGCCTCGGTTTATCCTGGCCCGAACCTTCACTGCTTTCTCCACTGCTCCAAAGACAGAGAGGTGCCAAGACTAAACTTCAGCGTTACATTTTGTGATCTGCATCTTCCTTTCCTCGTCTTTGCTGGAATTGTCTTTTCTGTGTGCTTTTAAATTTCCTGTGCCCACATCACTCTTGGTGTTGGGTTCCTGTGCCCAGATCACGTGAAGCCTGTGGTTATTACTGGGACAAGCAGCCTTCTATGTGGGCCCTGTAATATTGCTCTCTCCTTCCCTCTCCTCTAATTTCCCTTCTCCCTTGCCCTTCTCATTCTCCTCTCTTTCCCTCTACCCTGTATTTTTTTTGAGGGGGGGGGGGTCACACCTGGTGATGCCTAGGACCTACGCCTGGCTCTGCACTCAGGGATCACTCCTTGTGCTCCGGGGATCATATGGGATGCCAGGGATCGAACCTGCATGCAAGACCAGCGCCCTCCCCACATCTGATTTCTCCCTGCATCTGTGTGTCTGTCACCTTTCTGGTGAGGGTGAGGACCTGGTTTGTGTGATCTCGCCTTCCCATCATACAACAAGCACTCATCTGCTTTTTAAAACCAGAGGGGAGTATAATCTGCATGTTCCCTTCCCTCCCTCCTCAGAATTAGAGCCCTCTGAAGGCTTATAATTTCATTGTCACTTCTGCTTCTGTGGAACTCATGTATCTCCCTTTTTTGGTGGTTTTTCTCTTTTTTGCTGTATTGAATCCGCATGGAATTAGGTTCCAAGTTCCTGGTTTTCACCCTGGAGGGAAGAGGGTGTCATGCCATAGCAAGAACGAGATTAAAATCTGGTCTTAAATGACCTGCAGTACTTCCCGTGGTAAGGTCCCTTCCTTCCTCTCTGGCTTTCTCCCTAAAACAAGCTTCTCCCGTTTGATTTCGTGACTCAGCTGTCCAGGATCCTGCCCCCCTGCTCTCGAGGTGTCGTTGGAGTTGGACCTTGCAGCCTGGGCCGGCTCTGGGCCTCGGCCAGCCTTTGCCGTGCAGGAGAGTGCTGGCACTTTTCTCCTCCTTTCAGAAGACAGGAGTAGGCATTGCTCATGTTGCTTTTAATTCCAGTTGGTTCTCCGGTTGGTGATGTCACTCTCCCAGGGTTTGGGTGCTGCCCTCCATTTTCCGCTGGGGGTCTGTGTGCAGGGGAGGGGCTGACTCTGGCACCTGGAAGGTCTCTCCGGGAGGCTGGAACGCGCATGTGTCTTTGAGGGCCATTTCTGTGCGACTTTCCCTCTCGATGATGGCTGCAGTGATCAGTCTTTGCACAGACCTGATCCTGGGGGTTCACACACTTGCGGGGCTTCTGGGGGTATCCCCCTGGTTGCGGGACTCAGGTGCTGGCCGGGAAGAGACCTTTGGGGGCCATGCTGTGTGCACACCTGGTTGTGGGGTGCAGGACAACGTGCATCTTCTTGTGCTGGGCCTGCCGTGAGCTGTACTCAGCCTTGGTGGGCTTCAGCTGTGGCGGTGGATTGGACGTGGGCGCAGCAGGTGTCCTTCCAGAGATCCAGCCTGAGTCCTGTGTCTCTTCCAAGGCCATTTTCCTGCCACCTTGCTCTGGCCTCGGGTTCTTGGCCTTTGTGCCTCAGAGATTCACTGTCTTCTGGGGGTCTCAGAGCCAGTTCATATCGGGTCCCGGGCCTGTGACTGGCGATACTGCATGGGCTGGTATTACATAGGGGTTCTCGGAGGCCTGTTCAGAAATTGGGGAAAGGGAGGGGCAGAGGCATTTTCTAAGACCACAGGGAACCTCTGGTCCTTTCTCCCAGTGCTAGGCCCACCTGTGTGGTGGGCACCACAATTCCTCAGCTCCCCGGGTGTTGAGGTGGTCATCTCACCGGACTGTCTACTAGACTGTCCTTAGTGCTGCTGCTCCCAGCACTTCCTGCCTGCCTCCCTGAGTGCCCCATCTGTCTTCTTTTTCCTTCTGGCTTTTGGGCCATACCCAGTGATGCTCAGGGCTTACTCCTGGCTTTGCTCTCACGGATCACTCCTGGTGGGGCTTGGGGTGCTGGGGATGGAACCTGGGTGGGCTGCGTGCAAGGCAGATGCCTTCCCTGCTGGGGATGGAACTTAGGTGGGCTTCGTGCAAGGTGCCCTCCCTGCTGAACTAGCACACCCTAGGCCCCCACCTCTGATGGCCACCAGTTTTGACCGTTTGTGCCAAAGTGTCCTTCCTCTTCCACAGCCAGCTGCACCTGCCGTGAGGGGTTTTCTGAAGGGGTTTTCTGACACCCTGTGTAATACCGGCCTTTGGGGAGAGATTAAATTTAATGTTTTTCCAGGAACGCTTACATTTTTTTTTTAAAAGAAAATTTCAGTTCCATTGAGGCATTATGATTGATAATACTCTTCTTTTTACTTTTGCTTATGATGTTACTGTACCATGCCAGAGTAGACTTTTTTTTTTTCTTTTTTTTGGCAGAACATAGTTCTTTTGTTTGTTTGGTTTGGTTTTTGGGCTACTCGGAGCCATGCTCAGGGTTACTCCTGGCTCTGCACTCAGGAATCACTCCTGGCAGTGCTCAGGGGGATTTATATGGGAGGCTGGGGGCCGAACCGGGTTCTGCCACATGCAAGGCAAATGCCCTCCCCTCTGTACTAGCACTTCGGGCCCCCGCAGAGCAAGGTTCTTTACTGCAAAGGAGTAAGTCGCTAATTGGTCAATAATCTGGTGTTAGGAATGAGATGGTGGGATTTGTTTGAAGGATCTGAGACTTTCAGCATGGTGTGGAAATAACCCATCAACCTTTGGACTTCTGACTCTCACCTTGGGTAAGTGACTTAACTGCTCCTGGCCTCCACCCACGTCCTTGGTCCACGTCTCTAAAACCGGAGCAAAATGCCCTATGCTTTTTAATGTCATTGAGGGTTAATGAGTTAATGGTTGTATCACAATTGAGGAATCCCCTCTGCTAATTACATCTCACTTTCATTCTCTGTCAGACCACAATTATCTCCTTCTTGTTCCCATCAATGAAGTAAAGGCAGTATTCCTTTTTGTCCTATATCTTCTGCTCCTTCCCCCCGCCCCCACCTCCCTCCAGACTTAGCACGTTCCCTTTGGGGATGGATTAATATGTGGTTAATAAATTCAAATGTTGCCCCTCCCCCAGCATAAGGAGCCAGAGACTGTCAGTTCCCTTCAGCCGCCATAGGACCCCCCTCTCTGAGCCAGGGTGTTGTTCAATATTTAAGAAGAGTCGCTGTGAGTGGGTGGTCCTTTGGCTCCAGAGCTTCCTCTGTGTGTGTGTATGCGTGTGTTTTCCAGCCTGACTGTCTGCAGAGACATGCCGTGGGAAGGTAGTTTATATGATTTCAGGAGCCTGTTTGATTCCAGTGGGTAAGTTGGTTTTTTCTTTTTTTTTTCCTTTCTTGCTTTTTTTCTTTCCTAAAGGATAGGACTACTTGATTCTTATTTGTGTCTTCTTAATTAAATTTGTTTTCTTGACTTTAAAATCCTCTGTGTTTTGGAAATGACTTGGTTTGAAGGGAAATTAAAAATGAGCACTTTGTCCTAACTCTTATTTTCAAGTTTTATTCTCCCCACACTTTCTTCTTGTTTATTAAAATGGTCTTGCTCCCTGCTACAGAACTTGTCCACTGTAGGCTCCCAGAGTGGGTGTTACTGTCCCCTGGGGGACTGTGTCCAGGGCTGGGGGTGGTAGCTGCTTGGGGTGAGGGTGAGGGGGTGCTGCTTTCTGTTTCTTCATGGATGATTTCTGGGGTAAGGAGGGTGCTTAGCAATTTTTTTTTTTCTGGAAAGAAGTTGTCTTCTATTTCTGGGTTTTGTTTTGTGTGTGTGCTTTCGCGCGCGCGTGTTTGTGTGTGTGTGTGTGTGTTATTTGTTTGTATTTTTTTGCTTTTTGGGTCACATCCAGCAAAGCTCAGGAGTTACTCCTGGCATTTCCAGGTGGACCATATGAGATGCCGGGGATCGAACCCAGGTTGGCTGTGTACAAGCAAACACCCTCCCTACTGGACTATCACTTCCAGCCCAAGAAGGTGTTTCTGAAAAGAGGGAGCCCAGTAAGCCCGGGAACCTCTGGTCTCCAGAGCAGACCTTTCTAAAATGCCCCATCTTCTTTTGTGCAGTTAAAACTTACTGAATAGTTCTGATCTGGACCAACCCTGGCCTCAGGTCCCAGGCAAATATTTGGCTCCGTCCAAGTTTTCTGTCAGCAGATGCTGGTGACACCAACCTAACCGGAGCTCCAGAGCCATCTGGGTCCTTGGCCCCTTGTGAGAATTAGGGGAACCTCCATGGACAGTCACTGCCTTCAAAGTATTTTGGGGGATAATGGTGGTAATTACATCCTAGGGATATTAGGAGATTCTAGGTGCTCATCTGTGCGTGACAGGAGCTACTCATTAAATCAATACTAGGCTGCTACCAAATTCAATGTTATTCTTACTAGCAATAATTAACTGGCAATGTCATAACAGAATTGAATACTTAGCATTTTAGGCAATTCTGCTTTTTCTTTTTTGGATTCTGCTTTTTCTTTTAAATACTGCCACTTAAAAAGGATTGTTGTTGTTGTTGTCTTGGGGACACACCTGATTGCTCAGGGCTCACTCCTGGGAGACTCAGGGGACCATATGGGATGCTGGGGATTGAACCCAAATTGGCCACAAGGCAAATGCCCTCCCTGCTGCCCTGTCACTTCAGCCTCTCACCCTTGTTCTCATCATGTCATCGACTTCAGTTGCCTTTTAGCTGTCTGGATTCCCCTCATTTCAGCAGCAGAACAACCTTCTGTGGCTGAAATGCCTAGATTCCTCAGAAAAGCCCTGGGAAAATGAGTTAATAGATTTAATCTCCAGAGAAAAGGCAGACTGCAGTGACGGGGCAGCAGACAGGGCTGCCTTGTGCGTGGCTGACCCAGGTTTCATCCCTGGCATCTGATATTGTCCCCTGGGCCCCACCAGGGGTGATCCCTGAGTGCAAAGCCAGGAGTCAGCTCTGAGCACTGCTGGATATAGCCCCAAAGCAAAAAAGAATAAGAAGGGGGGCAGGTGGGCTCTGAGTGTGGTTAACATGTGGGCAAGAAGTCAGGCTGAACAGGATCTCGTATCTCCAAAAGGACATGATACCTTCCCAGGGCGATGGTTCCGTCCAAACCTTCCCAAGGCAACCGTTCCAGGCTGAGAACTCTGGGGCCTTCCCAGCAGGGGTGGTCAGAGTCCAGTATCCCTCTAGCTGCACCCGACACTCTCAGGCTCAGACATGGCCCAGCTCTGTGACTGAGCCTCATTGTAGTGCCAGACATCTAACTGTCTCAGTTCTATAGCTCCTGGACACTTCAGAATTTCATGGTACTGTCATCCCAGTAGGATCCAGCAAATCTGATGGGGAAATAGGATAGACTCACGCCAAACTCAGCCTTACACAGAAGACTCCACTATCCCCGGCCAGTAGTAAATCCTCAGACAGTGACTTTAGTAACATCAGACAACAATGATCACAAAGTGACTACTGTTGATCTAAAGTTTGGTAATTCTATTTGCCTTTGAGTTGTAACAAACAGTATGAAGGAAACCTGTTTGTCCCTGCAAGGGGGCAGGCTGGGGTGGTGGGTGGGAAACTGGGACATTGGTTGAGGGACGGGCACTCTGGTGGTGGAATTGGTATGGGAACGTTTAAGACCTGAAACAACTGTATTATGAACAGCTTGGTAAATAACGGTTTTAGAATAAAAGTATTTTTTTTTAAATGAAAGTTGGACTGGAGAGATTGTACAGTGGTGTACTTGCACATGGCTGACTTGGGTTCATCCTTGGCACCACATACGGGCTCCCGTGATTACTCTTAGGAGTAATTCCTGAGTGCAGAACCAGGAGGAAGCCCAGCAAAAATCCCCAAAACCAGAAAGAAAAAAAAAAAGCAACCAGAGCTTGAAGCCGGTCCTCCCCATGCAGAGGTACGAAGTACTAGTTCCCAACTGCACAGTTCTCTCCTGCAGGACTAGGGGAAGAGTCTGGTACTGGGATGAGGTGAGCCAGCGCTGAGAGGGGCCATCTCCTTTAATCCCCCTATTTTCTCTCTGTTGGAAACCGAGGGGAAGTGACTTGTTCAAGTTCACTGATGGAGTGACTCTCAGAACTGGAACCCAGGTGATCTGAGCCCCAGACCCACCCACCTCCTTCCCGAACACAGTCCCAGCAGCCACACACATGCTTTCCTTCCTTTTAAGAACTGTAGAGACTGGAGATACAGTATAGGGGGGAGGGCACTTGCCTTGCATGTGGCAGAACCAGGTTCAATCCCTGGCATCCCATATGGCCCCCAGGAGTGATTCCGGAACACAGAGCCAGGAGTAACCGCTGAGCACTAGTGGGTTTGACCCCCAGAAAAAGCAAACAAACCATTTCAGGTCTCTTGATGGAAGATGAACTCTGCTGGCTGGAAGCTGCTGCGTCCCTGCATCTGTTCCTGGCCCGGGAAGTGGGTCTGGGGGCTGCTTTCAAGAGCAGTGACTGTGAGATTCTCTCACCTACACATCTGTCAGCAAGTAGAGGAGTAGGCAGCCAAGATATGAGCAGCTAGCATCAAGGAAGGGGGGGGGGCACTAAATTCAATGGAGCACGTTCTGTACCAGGCAGATAATGACTGTACCTTAGTACGGCTTCCCACAGCTTTTGTTGTTGTTTTTGAGCCACACCTGACAATGCTGAGGGCTGACTCCCTTCTCTGCACTCAGGAATCACTCCTAATGGGGCTGAGGGGACCATAAGGGATGCTGGATTAGACCCAGGCCAGCCACGTGCAAAGCAAGAGTCTTCCCTGCTGCACTATGGCTCTGCTCTCCCGCTGCATTTTAAGTCTCCAGGCCCCGAGCTGGGTTCAGCACCAGCACGGAGCAGAGCTCTCCTGTCACTATGGGAGCATCAGAAACTTGTGCCTGCCCGAGAGCGGCCACAGATACAGGGCAGAGTTTGTCTGCCATGGAGAAGCAGAGAACTCCTGGCTCAAGGGTCGAAAACAGACTGAATCAGGGGCCCAAGTGATGGGACAGTGGGGAGGGCACTGATCCCTGCCACCACATCTGGTTCCCCTGAGCACTGGTAAGAGTGATCCCTGAGCACTGAGTCAGGAGTTCGCCCTGAGCACAGCAACCAGGTGTCATCCCATATAGTTCCCTGAACACCACCAGCAGTGATTCCTGAGTGCACAGCCAGGAATAATTCAAGAGTATCTCTCTGTGACCCAAAAACAGAACAAAAAAAAGAATTAAAAATCAGAGTAGAGGGCTGGAGAGCTAGCCCAGTGGATCAGGTGCTTGCTGTACATGCATTCAGAGGTACCATTGACAGCAGATAAGCTTATTTTAAGGAATTGGATCAAGTGACTATGGAGCCTCAGTGAGTCCAAAATTGACAAGGTCCGCTAGTTGGCTGGAGCACCCTGGAAGAATTGGTTGAAATTCAAACCCAATGACAGCGTGCTAGCAGAATTCTCTCTTCTGGGGAGGTTGAAAGTTCTCTTTGCTCTGCTGAGGCCTTGAGCTGACAGCTGAGACCTCCGGCATGTGCCTACCAGTTTAGATCTTAGTCTCCAGAGTCACGGCCCTCATCCCTCACACGTGCTTCAGATACATCCATGACAATGTCCGACCAAAAATATCAGCGCTCTGATCCAGCCAAGTAATCACCTGAAATTAACCATCACCCGCCTCCTAGTTCCTTCCCCCACCTCCACCCCAGAGGATGACCACTTTCCAACTTTGTAATTGCATACTTAACCTTTTTAAAAAAAATTTGGATTTCAGACCCTCACTCAGCTGTCCTCAGGGCTTAACTCCTGATTCCTCTGTAAGTCCCATTCCTGGTGGGACTCAAGGTGCCGGGGATTGAACCAGGGTCAGCCGTGTGCAGGGCAAGTGCCTTAGTCTTTGTCCTGCCTCTCAGCCCTCAGTGTCTTTGGAGTTTGCGATCAGCAGAAGAGTCGATTATGCCTTCATTTGCCTCTCCTTTCAGTCACAGAGCCACTGTACGTCATCCCGGAGCATCTCACTTCTCCCCGCCCCGTAAACTTTTTCTGGGTTGGGGACAGGATTAGGACGTCAGGTCAGAAAGGGGTGCCATGCCCCAGTGCCCCAGCCCTCTCAGATGGTCTGGGGACCACAGCCTTCTTTGCTGGTGTTTATCTGAGCAAGCTTCTTCTTCGCTCCCCCCCTCCCCCCATGCCTTCCTTCATTGTCCCAGACCCTTTCCAGTGCCACAGGCTCTCCGCTCAGTCTGTCCTCCGCACAAAGCCCTTTCCTTCTACCTGCTGATCGTCACCCTCTGCTCTGCCCTTTGTGCCCCGGCAGAGGTGGCCTCTGTCCCCAAGCTTGGTTG